ACTATACTATAACTAGTCATTTATAGTATATAACCTCGGTTTATGCTATTGGTAGGCGTTTATATTAATATTTACTAGTAAGAAAATGTTAATAGTATATTTATACATTTGTCGGTAACATATAAATTTATAAACATGTCTCCATCTATGTGTACTGCTGAGACGTCAATCTTTAGGCGTAATATGTGTAGTTGATCAGTTATATTTTAGTGTAGCTTGCTTTGTCTCCATTTGTGCATGTTTGATAGTGAAGAATGTTTGTATATTCTACCTAAACTATATACCTATACTATTGAAACTAATTAATAATATAATTTATTTGCCATATCTGGTGCTTTTAGAAAAATGTTTGATGCTACTATAAAACATTGAGTCGATACACATTTTATAAGGTTCTTCCTAGTATTATTTAGTGTAGTACGCTGTGAAACCATTTTGTGTGCGTACTCACCTTATGTATTTGATTTGCAGTAATATGATAAAACACCTTGAACTGATGGTGTGGAACGACCTCTTGGTAGACATGGAAAAATGGTAAATCAAAGGAAGCTTGTAGGTGGAGATGGAGTTGTTTAGGAACGATGTTTGGGAGTGAAGATAAGATCATGCCATAGAGGAACGTAAGTCGATTGGCAGTTAGTAACAAATACAATGATGGTGAATCATTCTCGCCTTTCAACTCCAACCAACTTACGCATTGGGCCGATGGACGTGATCACCTATCTTATATTTCTTTTATTAAATGTTACTTCTAATTTATCGGTTTTCCTATGTTTTGCTACTAAATCCTCCTCTCTTTTACTGAAGGGGATCTTGACAAGTATAATATTTGGGAAGTTATATATAGTTGATTAATACACTAAATATTTATCTATTGGTTTTCCTGCATTGTTTATGTAGGTGCAAATATTTTTTTGTTGATTGTGCATCTTATTGATTTTGTCATTTATGTACCCTAGTATATTAAGTAGGTAAGTTGTTTTGCTTACGTTAGCAGATACTATATTATACATTTTTATAGTATAGTATAGATGGGATGTAGTGGTTCCGCCATACGATACTATAATATAAACATTAATAGTATAGTATAGGTTATGTTTTTGCTGAATTCTCCTACAAATATCTTCAGTTTGGTTGTGATATGTTGGGTTATCGCTTTCCAACCATACGTTGCGACTTATTATGTTCTCTTGTTTGTCACATTTATGCCTTCAATTATTTTATTGTATACATGTATCATATATAGTTGACTCTCCATTTTGCGTTCCCCTCCCTCTCCCTCTCCCCCTCTTCCTCTACCACTCCCTCTCCCGCTCCCCCTCTCTCCCCATTCCCCTCCCCCTCTCCCTCTCTC